ACATTAAATATCTAATTGATATAAAAACAATAAAACATATAAATAAATGTAGTTCTATCATTAAAATCATCATATAAGACTTTCTATTCATTTACAAAATATTAAAATTTACTTACTCAAATTTCTTATTGGTTTTTTTAAAACCAATTTATAACACAATATCAAAATCATTTTTGAAGTGCTCATTCATTTGATATTTTAATAGAACAATAGGTCCCAAATAGGAATTAAACAATTGACTTAATTGAAATTTAAGTTGACAATCTAAGTACATATATAAATAGATTTAGACTACCAAAATTATTTGGCTAAATTCTTAACACACTATTTGATATTTCTGAATATCATATATATTTAGCAAAAAGGTTGTACTTTTTTTTCTATTAATATTATTTGTATTTTAATATTTTGTAATTCTAATACAAATAGAATGTAATTAAGAGTTAGAGCAAATAAATAAGAGTACTTTGATTTTTCAAATATATCTAATGTGAGGATAAATAATTTATATGTAGGATAAACATTTTATGGTCCAATTTAATAAGATTGCAAATTAATTAATAAAAGATAATCAAGTCAACTTAATAAATTATATAAATGAGTTCATTATATAGTAATCTCAAACCAAGATCAGAAACAATGAAATAAAATAAAATATATAGAAAGAGAAATCTAATTACGAATAAGGAAAAAATTATAACCAATCCTTTATAGAATAATAGATATAATTTACAAGAAAATAAGTCTTTATTCTATTATTAATGATGTATTCGAATGCTATTGATAAGGATAATCAAAATATGTAATAATCAGGATTTTATCAAATTAACATGGAATTAATAAAATAGAGTTAATGTAAATAATCATAGGAAAAACTTAAGTGTATTCATTCCTATTTTATTAATTTTTACAACAGATTTCTAAAGTAAGATTAAGTATTAAATAATGATTAATAATTGAATTAAAATTTAAAGTAAATTTAAGATCTTGAAAAAGAGATTTAAGAAGAAGAATATAAACATTCTCAAAAAATATAATATTTGAATTAAAAGATTGAAATGATTCGTAACTAATTATTAAATAATAATAATGAATAAGATGAATTCGTAACTTATATTAGAAGAACTGAATTCAGATAATATAATCAAATATTTAATGATTAATAATATCTTTTGAGTTATTTTACAAAAAATAAAGGAAGATGTGAGGATTATTAAAATTCAGTTTTAGTAAATTTTGCTGATAAAAATGTAGGTGGTTTAAGTTTAGATACTTTGAATATAGCTTAAGAGGAAGTAATTATTTCAAATTTATTTTTTTAATAGGTGCTGATGTTAACACATCCTGAAGCGCTTATAAGCATGTTATTTATGAAACCTATGGATGATAATGAAGCTATTCTTATAAAAAATGTAATTAGATTTAATGATTATGATGGATATGGATAGACTTTTAGATAAAAAGATGAAGATTATTTTAAATTAATTTAGAATTCATCCTTTAAATAGAATAATGAATTTTCTCAACAAAAAGAGGATGTAAATAAATTAACTTAAAATAAGAAAATTATAAAAAATCATATATTAGTAATATTTCACAATTAATACTTTAGTGTATGGATGCATTATACTATAAAAATTGGTAATTGTAATTTGATCAAGTTTGTATTAATAGAGAATTAACTAAAAGTTATATTGCGTTTTCGTTAGCACTTGATTACACAAATAATGAAAATATATCAACTGGTAAATGGGGTTGTGGAATATTTAATGGGGATGTTTAATTAAAGATTTTGATTTTATTACCTGCATTCTTAATGGCATAGTAAGATTGGTAGTAAAAACATGAATAAAACAAAATGTTAGATTTCAAAAATAAGACAGAAAGAATTCTAATTTTTAGTTCTTTTCATAATAATTAGTTTGATGATTTAATTTACTCTTATGAAAAATGCCTAAATGAAAAAAGATTAAAAATTTTGCAAAACAATAATTTAAGAGATTGAAAACTTAAAACAATAAAATGATAATGGTAGGTAAAAATGTAGCCTAAACGTGTTCTTTATAATAAGTCAGATTTGGAATGTTGCTTTCCTAGATAAGATTTTTATTTATAAGGATTACAATGTTCTCTATAAAAATGCAATAATATACTCAATCATGTATATTCTATTTACATGGCTATAATGGATCAAGATTAGAGGCTGTCTGATATGCTCTTATGTGTGTAGAAGTGATTTTGATTTTTGTTCATTTGAGTTTTAGGCAGCTGGATAGTCATAAAGAGACTTTGTAACTTTTGGGTAATTAGACATTGTTATGAAGTTTAAAAGAGGAGGAAAACATAGCATTAGTAATTCAATTTTTGAAAGAGAAATATTTTCATAATATTTTGCGGGCAAGATCGATGGGAGCTACTACAGCCTTGATGTATACTCAAAAAAGTGGGAATATAAAATGTTTGGTTTTAGATAGTCCATTTTGGAAGATGTAGTGATAAATTTAATAAAACTAAAACTACACACTCCAAATATAATCAAAAAAGGATTAAATGAATTGATAAGAAGTATAAAATCTTAATAATTCAGGATGCATTGCAAAATTGTTTCAATTTTGTGTTAATAAGGTTTAATTGCCTATAAATTTAAATATCACTTGTCTAATGCTATTTTTAGCATCAAAATAAGATAGCCTAATTCCTTAATATCATTTTGATAATATTTAATTGATATCCAGGGCATAAGAGATGGGTAGTTTTGTGATGTAATCACAACGAATAATTATTGAATTTACATAAGCTATGACACCCCCAAAGTCGATTCACTCCAATCAAATATGCTAATCGATTATTAGGTGATTTGGATGAGTAAAAATATATAGCAACAGGAATTAATATAAAGTAGAAAATTTATGAGAAATTAATCAGCATCTTCTCATATTAAGAATTCGGCTTAGATCGAGAAGGATAAGGCTTTGATTTAATTGTCTAAATTTAAATGATTTTATTATAAATATTTATTATTTTTATTTTTTATTATAAAATTTATAAATAATAAAATTTATTCATCTTTTATTTTTGGAATTTAAGATTATCATTTCTCGAAAATAAGTAAAGCTAAATTAGAATTCTGATATTCATTGACTAATATGTTAACAGACTTTCTATTAATTTACAAAATATTATGATTCTTACTCAAATTTTATTATTGACTCTTTAAAAAACAATTTATAATATTTGATCAGTTCTTATTCAATTCAAAAACCATTAAATTTTAAGAGAACCATGGGTCCCAAATAGGAATTATCATTAAACTTTATTGAAAGTTAAGTTTACAATCTAGAGACCTATATAAATAGATTGAGATTACGAACAATATTTTGCTAAATGATATACATGCTATTTTTATATTTTTGAATATCCAAAACATATACATAAATTATTTAGTAAGAATTTTTCCTTCTTTTTCTATTAATATTATTGGTATTTAAATAATTTTAATTTCTACTACAATTAGAATGCAACTAAGAGTTAGAGCAAAAAAAAAGTGTACTTTGATTTTTCAAATATATCTAATGTGAGGATAAATCATTTATATGTAGGATAAACACTTTTTGATCCAATTTAATAAGATTGCAAATTAATTAATAAAAGATAATCAAGTCAACTTAATAAATTATATAAATGAGTTCATTATATAGTAATCTGAAAACAAGATGAGAAACAATAAAATAAAAAATATAGAAAGTGAAACCTAATTAATAATAAGAAAAGAATGATGCCCAATTCTTTATAGAATAAAAAATATAATTTTCAAGCTCATTCTTATTTTATTAATTTTTACAACAGATTTCTAAAGTAAGATGTGGTATAGAATAATGATTAAAAATTGAATTCAAATGAATTGCATAAGCTAATTTAAAATGTTGAAAAAGAAATTTAAGAAGAAGTATAAAAACATATTTAATAATAATGAATAAGATTAAATCGTATCTTATATTAGAAGAACCGAATTTAGATAATATGATCAAATATATAATGATTAATAATATCTTTTGGGTTATTTTTCGAAAGATAAAGGAAGATATGAGGATTATAAAAATTCAGTTTTAGTTAATTTTGCTGATAAAAATGTAGGTGGCTTAAGTTTTGATCCTGTAAACATAGCTTAAGAGGAAGTAATTATTTCAAATTATTGTTTTAATAGGTTTTGATTTTAACACATCCTGAAGCGGTTATAAGCATGTTATTTATGTAAACTATGGATGAAAATGAAGCTATTCTTATTTAAAATGTATTTAGATTTAAAGATTATGATGGATACGGATAGACATTTAGATGAAAAGATGAAGATTATTGTTAATTAATTTAGCAAAATACAAAAATTATAAAAATCATATTTGAGTAATATTTCACAATTAATATCATTATGCTATAAGAATTGGTAAATGTAATTTGATCAAGTTTATATTAATAGAGAATTGACTAAAAGTTATGTTGCGTTTTCATTAGAACTTAATTACACAAATAATGAAAATATATCAACTGGTAAATGGGGTTGTGGAATATTTAATGGGGATGTTTAATTAAAGATTTTGATTTTATTACCTGCATTCTTAATGGCATAGTAAGATTGGTAGTAAAAACATGAATAAAACAAAATGTTAGATTTCAAAAATAAGACAGAAAGAATTCTAATTTTTAGTTCTTTTCATAATAATTAGTTTGATGATTTAATTTACTCTTATGAAAAATGCCTAAATGAAAAAAGATTAAAAATTTTGCAAAACAATAATTTAAGAGATTGAAAACTTAAAACAATAAAATGATAATGGTAGGTAAAAATGTAGCCTAAACGTGTTCTTTATAATAAGTCAGATTTGGAATGTTGCTTTCCTAGATAAGATTTTTATTTATAAGGATTACAATGTTCTCTATAAAAATGCAATAATATACTCAATCATGTATATTCTATTTACATGGCTATAATGGATCAAGATTAGAGGCTGT